TTTTGAGGGTGGCTAAGGATGGCGATGCGACTGTACTAGGGTAGTGTCATTTCCACTATCGTTATGAGAAATCCATGATCTGCTACTTATTGAATTCGATGTCAAAGTACAAACATTCTATTATTAGGAGATAGCTGAGGAGCTACTGATTTTGAATATGTCCTTTCGAATTGCTTAGTATTGCTGAGAGAGCGAAGAATCCCGGTTTTCTATGATGTGTCCTGTTTTACCATATATGTAATACAGTTTTTGTGCCCTAATTTTTCCTCAAAGGAGTCGATATCAAAATAGACATTTATACACCATTCGATAGAGAATTTGAAGGGCTACATTTCGCACTATTTATTTTTTGAAAATGAGAAACTTCGATTTTTTGCCTAACTTCCGTCTGGTTGCCCACTGTGCGTTGCAAAGTCGACCCGGAGACAACGAAGCTCCTGTTGTTTCCAAAGTCAAACTGGGAGCACCGGAATGTCTCGTAACAATCTGAACAGTCTGATTAAGTTGGCTCGCGCGCTTTTCGCGCAACAAATCAAGCCCCATTTTCTTTTGTGACGACACGTTTGTGTATGAGCTACAGATCTTTCCGTTTATTGAAAGGACAATCCAGTACAAGGTTTCCGTGAAGAAGTAGCTGCCAGTGCGAAGTCTTGTACACACTGCAGTACCACAGTCCTAAGAACTGAGGGCAGGTTAAAAGTTGTTCTTTCGAAAATTTTCAGGGTTTCAATATCATAAACTAGGCTTTCCAAGATCTGTTCCGCATTTTTGCAATAACTCCGCCGACACAAAATGAAAATCCTTTTAAACAACGCTTTATTCTGAGATATCGTTTTAGATGCATCGAACCGAATGAAATATTATGAGGATCATAACGAGCTTAAAAACTTGCTTTTCCAGAAAGGTTCGAGTCGATTTCCTTTTCCGATGCTCCAGCTGTAGTAAACAAGTCGAGCCAATGAGACGTTTGAAGGAACCTCGCTTATGGAAACTGGGAAAAACAGCTATTGTACAAGAGAGAGAGAGAGAGAGAGAAAAGAATAGGAAGGAAAATACCCATCGAAAAGAGTGAACAGAAAGAGAAAACATACATCATAGAAAAGCAGGAGAGCACATACAACAGAAGAACAGAAAGGGAAAATAACCACCGGGTGAACAGAACATGTTTATTTGAAAGACCAGTGCTGATATGAGATTTAGTTTATACTTCTTAACAAACTTGCTATATAAACTATGTTTTACATGCATTCTATATGTTCTGAAACATGTGCTTAATAAACACACTGTAAAAAATAACCGAATGATCACTGACACACACCGTCATGTCAACCAGAAGCTATTGCAACTTTAAACTACAAGCGTCAATAAGCGGCTATTGTTCGCGGCACAACTCTCTCACAAGGACATTTCTGCGAAGCCCACAGGTACACTGACCAGGCTGTATGTCACTGAATGGATGAGGAGGTGGGTAAGCAATGTGAGAGTGAGTCCAAAAAGTAGTTCATATTAAAATGATTACATGCTGCAGTATGAAACTGGTGACGAGACTTCAAAGCGAACAGAAAGGCAGCGCGCAATAACCAGTAGGTTCGTAAATACGAGCGTAATGCGTTTTGTGATTGTTACAAACATGTAGAGAACTAGTTGGAAAAAACCTTGATACGATTAAGGGGCAATAATTTGATTAGATTATTTTACAACTGAAAATTCGGAAAACGGAATTGGGAAAATGCTATTTGTGCGAGCGTGTTTATGAGAGCGGTTGGAAGCGAATTCGGATCAAATTATCCTGACACATTCAAAATTTGGCTGCTGTTCAGTTGAAACTACGATTGCTAAGAACTGAAATTAAACTCAAATGGAAATTCAGTCGCCTTCATCATCTTTCAAAAACAGATTTTCTTTTGAAAAACTCGCGGAAATGTTGCTATATCGTTATTGCCACTTTCTTTCTTAAAGCAGAGCAGAAAAGCGTCATCCTGGGTCGATGGATTCGAATTTTTGAGGATTAAAAAAAATACTGAAGCGAATCATCATGAATCAGATTTAGAATCATGGCCGTCAACAAATAGTGTGTCATGAGAAGAACTGCGTTTATCTGATGATGATGACAATATGAACAAAGACAATACTGATGACCTAGTCACACTAGATGATGGGAAGCGAGTTATGAATTCAATCACAACTGTTATGGAAAAGTGTAGAAAACTCGTCAATTATTTTGGAAGATCAACGAAACAAAGTCGTTATTTAAAACTTGGAAAAACGAAGAATGTCATAAATTAATAGTTGATCTGAAAATCCGTTGGAACAGTTCGTATGCTATGCTACAGCGTCTCATTGAATTAAAAGCACAGGTTATAACCATTCTTAGTGATGTAAACAAACAAAAAGGAAAACAACTAGAATCGATTTATTTGACTCCGTCTGAATGGATATTAATAAATGAAATTAAATGTGTTCTGGAACCATTCCAAATTGTCCTCGAAGCTTTAAGTGGTTCAAATTATCCAACATTAGCTAAAGCATATAATGCACTGAAAGCATTATATGTTTACCTTGAACTTGGTAACGTGTTCGATTCATTTAATATGGGAGTTATGAAACAATTATTATTAGCTTATTTGACTCATTATTTTCCTCGAAATGATAATAATGAACAATATTGTTTAATGAGAGCGGCAGCATACGTCGATCCTCCGGAACATTTGTCGTTGGACAATGATGAGTTAGAAAAAGCTGAAGTATATATTAAATCATTGTATGATCGATTAACATTAACGTTACATGACGAAACATCGTCGAACACTGCACAACAACAAAAGCCGGGGGCAGATGAGATAAAAGAGGAAGGTTTGGATACTAAAAATAACCATTTGAGTATCTACGAACTGTTTTTGCGCCGTACTGGTATTCGAACAAAAGTAGTTAACGGTGAAGAAAATATTTCACTTGAATTTGATCGGTATAAAAGAATGCTCAATATGTTAACGAAGCCAAGATACAATACATTTTGGAAAGACAATACTTGTCTGAAACGTCTTCGTTCAATGACGAAAGTACTATTAGCTATTCCTGGCACAAGTGTACCATCGGAAAGTTGTTTTAGCATTTCTGATAACTTCGTGAGAAAATGAAATCAGATGTGGTGAAATGTTTAATGTTTCTCAAAGATAAACTGTGAAGTGAAGCAGTTGTAAAAATCGAAACTTTTTGAATGTTTCTGATTCATGTTGACCTGAATAAACTTTTCCACGAATAAATCCATTTATCGCAGTTAAAAAATAACCTACATATATTATCAAAAACTCTGTAGTCATCAGTAAATTACCGTCGATAACGGTAAAAAAGTTTTTTTCCGAAGTTTACCGCGGTAAAACTTTGTGATTTTTTACCGATTTGAAATTACCGCGGTAAAAATCTAAAGTTGTTACCGGAGTATCGGTAACGGTAACACGTTTTTACCGTTACCGCTCATGCTTAGGAATAGTCTTAATGTTTTTAGCGTAAATGGATAATTGTTAGTTTGAAAAAACCAACATAAAATGACTTTATTCAAACGACACTAGGAGGAAAAAGAATGGAAATGATAAGTGTGCATCACAGAACATAGATGGAGGTGTTTTCTATGATATAAGCACTAAGCTTGCATTTTGAAGAGAATTTTCACGTTTGCTGTTCTAAACTATCCAGCCCTATTTTTGCGGTAGTTCATAGTTTGAACTCGCCATCCTATGACAGAAAACATTAGCACTGATAGTATCGCCAACGCTTGGCTAAAGAAGGACAAAAAAGTGCGTAACTGTTCGTACGTTTTTCGTTTTCTTTCGTTTCATTATGCAACTTCTCTTATTTCGCTATATTCGAATCTCTTGCCGGCCAATCACTAGTCGTGGCGGCTGACGTAATACGTTGGCTGGGTTTACGTCAAAATACGATGAAAAACTATAGTATACGTCAAATTACGTGTTCCGAATGTGATGTATACGATCGTATAGGGCGGTTGTAATCATGGACCTGGGCTTTGTCTTTTTTCCATAAATTTGGCTTACCACAAACGATCGTATACGACTGTCGTAACTTCATCGTATTTCATCCTTTACGTGGTATCGTATCCATACACGTATACGACAGTAGTATTTTGGCGTATTTCAGCGTAAATGATTGTGTACCGCCTAGGATGAAAGATCTGGGATTAGGTGATTCAAACCAGATTTGATCATAAAGTGGCACTAGCTTCTTGTTGACACACCCAGGGAGTGGCAATAAACTCACACAAAATATAAAGCGCGCCCAAAACACACTGAACTTGCACACCATTTTGATTCACATTTGCGCATTTAGAACTTTTACACATCTACGGGCATACTTTTTTTTACATTGCATTGTTCATCGTACGCTTCATAAATAATGCAGCGCACAAATGAGATAATTTTCTAGCTTCTAATCAGGTGTTCTTCTGTCCAGTAACTTCATAGAAAGTGATCTTAAACAATCTTCCAGTTTTTTGTAATAAGAGAAAAAAGTGAAGGGAAAAAAGGACAGAGGAAGGCCAAGGAGAAAAAGAATATCGACTATCGGGCGAGTTAGCTAGCTAACTCAATGTACCACCAAATACAGCTAGCTAGCAGTTCAAATCAGGTTATCGGGCGATATAGCCAGTTAACAAGATACGTTACTAGATATACCCATGCAGATGAAAAAAGTCGTTCGAGGGGTGCGGCGTGCGCTCGAAAATAGGCCCTCGCCCAGGGCTCGACCCCTAGGAAAATGGCACTTCGGACCTTCGATATAAGCCTTTGTGGGGTATCGATTCAGCAGTTACAATTTATTACTAGATAAATAAGTTGCGCCGTTTTTAGAATATATGGCTTACCCGCACTTTTTTGGGGATAAATGGCTCCTATCGTGCAAAGAAAAAATGTGTCCTACGAGGGAATATCTAGCATAAATGGCTTTTTTTCTCGAATAAATGACTAAGTCATTTATTGCTTCCTAGAATAAATGTATGGGCGATGAGGAAAGCTTAGCACTGGAGTTCGTTCCCTAGACAAAAAAAGTTTGTGAAATCGTATAAGAATCTCACAAGAATTCAAAAGAAATTGGTAAGAGTCGGTAAAACTCGTACGTTATTCTTATCAGATTGTTATACGATCCTTATAAGATTCTTGTAGGATTCTTATAAGAAACATGATCGAATCTCCTACAGAAAATTCCCATTATAGTGCTGAAAAATGTCCGGCACTACCAGTGTGGACGGCATGCTATGTTACACCCGTACGTACTAGTTACACATTTTTCCAGTCACCATTTCTTATCGACGATTGCACTATGTTTTACTCGGACTTTTCTTCGAGACCATAGTGCAATGAAATTTTAATGCGAGCAGACAATGCTTTGATCTTGCTATAATCTTTATCTGAAAAGGAAAAATCAGTATAAATAGCGACTCAGGTAGTAAATTCAGAGGATGTACACAGTAAATTCAGCTCTCTGTTCCCTTATCTAAATAGGTCTCATTTTCTAGTGTACAAAAGTACCTTATATTACAGACACTGTTTTACGTCTCGTTTAAAATGAGAAAAAAACGTTCGTATTATCAATCATACATGTGACGAGAGTATATGTATACGTTTGTATCACGTGGAAAAGCACATGGAGCAGTCTATTTTTTTCTAACAGTTTGAAGAAACATGCTTCCTATAGACTTATACGCACGGAGCATTAGGGCTCAGTCATTCCGCTCATTCGCAGAATATTAGATTGGCTCTAATAACGAACTGATCCTGGCGATAATATATACGGACATACATTCTCTGCAAGTTCAGACGTGAATGTTTTCTTCACGTATGGCTGAGAGAAAGCGTCGTTTATCCTGGAGAGTAATAAATGGCTATGCCATTTATGCTAATAGGTTAATAAATGGCAGAGCCATTTGTGCTGGGATAAAAGCCATTTATGCTAGAGAACCTTCCCGGATAGGCAACTGTATAGCCATTTATTCGGAAAAAAGTGTAGGTAAGCCATTTATTCTAGAAACGGCGCAATTTGTTATTTTCTTAATAATTGTAAGCCCTCTCGGCGATGGCTCAGCGAAAGCATATTTCCGAGCACTCGAAGTACCCCTCGAACAACTGACTTTATCGTCATACGTGACCTATACTCTACATGTATAGGTCACGACGGATGAAAGAACAGAAACGATAAACATGACGCTTCTTACGTCTTACGGCCTATCACTAGCTTCCGACATAATTGTTTTATCACGTAGAAATCATGAAGATGGGGGTTGTGGTATTATTACAACAGTTAATTAGGATGATGTTGTCAGACGAATGTATCTTACTGCTTGTGCTATGTATGCAAACTTAAATTATGGTTATAATCCTGATATTGATAGAGAAGCTCATGGTAGCTATAAAACTAATTGGGTTATACAATTTTTATCCGTTCCTGGTTCGTTTAGATGGTCTTTATTTTAGTTTTTTTTAAAAATGCTACTCATCGTAAACTATTTGGGTTTTACATTTTGTAAGTGTTTAAACTGGTTGTTGATTTATTACGAGTAATGTTACATTCTGATTTAAATAATTATTTATAGTAGTGTGTGGTCTCATTGTTTGTGTTTTATGATCGTGGTGATAAAACTACTAAACGTAGTCATGTATCCAAGTACTGGCTTCGCTCGAAGAATTGAGTATTCGTGTGAATTTCTCTTTTGCTTTAAACTCTACCACATAACCAGGGTTTTCGGCACAAAGATCTCTGGATTTTAAAAGACCCGTCGCACACTTACCATTGATGTACTAAAACCATTAGTACGAATACAGTTGTTAACAGTAATGGCCGCTTTTGAAACATTTTTGTTGATTGGATTTGATATGAGAAATATGTGTAGAATTATGCGTACCTGTAATAAGAATGATGATAAATATTTAATTCTTCCTTGTTAGATTATTTGCCATATTGCACCTTTTTATACTATCATCTCTCTCAGTTAACTGAACCATGACAATTTTGTAGTCATCATCATCAAAGAGTGCAAATTTTTTCTGTAGGTATTTAGTGCTGAGTGTATACATTTTTCTCT